AGTCCGTGTGGCCCAGCGACAGCCCCGAAACCTGAAGGCTCTGGAGGAGATCTGTATGGAGGAGTGGGCCAAAATCCCTGCTGCAGTGTGTGCAAACCTGGTCAAGAACTACAGGAAACATCTGATCTCTGTAATTGTAAACAAAGGTTTCTGTACCAAATATTAAGTTTCATTTTTCTGGTATATCAAATACTTATTTCACACAATAAAATGGAAATTAATTATTTAAAAATCATACATTGTATTTTTCTGGATTTTTGTTTTAGATTCCATCACTCACAGTTGAAGAGTACCTATGATAAAAATTACAGTCATCTACAAGCTTTGCAAGTGAGAAAACCTGAAAAATCAACATTGTATCAAATACTTGTTCTCCCCACTGTATTTTCAACATTTACACCGGTTTCACGGTATATCACGGTATTTCTCTTTTCATCACAGGTCAGCTGATAATAAAATGTACAAACACTGCTTAATAACTTTTCTTTTACTGTACCTCTTTCTTTGTCGCTGTTTCCCTCCTCTATGTGTCTTTTCTTCTCTGACTGGTGGTTGGAGACAGCAATCATGAATGATCGGGTTTATTGTTTTGTTATTTATTYAAGCTTATCAGCATGACTCACCTTGCACACCAGTCATTTCCAATTCTGCTACGAACTACTTCCTGCAGCTTTTCACAACAGAACACGTTAAGTCTCCATCAGCATAACGTCTCCATATTAACGTTGCGTGTTTAATTTAACCATGCACGTCACTGAAGAGGTGTTTACTACATTCAGTGACGGCGAAAACGGGATGTTTTTTTAACGTCAGTCAATAAGCAGTGGAATTGCCCCCAGCTGCTGCAACAAGCTGCTCCAAAATTTATATTAACATGCTAACGCACATAGCAGTGCTGCGAGGAAAAGTGTCCCCCGGGAAACAGTTCACTGGCAGTCGCAACGAAACGTTCCGCACATGTTCAGGCTATTTAAACCGGTATGTCCGATATTCAGACAATTCATATAATAACAAAAATAAAAACCACTATTCGGTACAAAACAGTATACCACCCAGCACTAGTTTAAATCCTCTGGATTGGGCCCCTCAGATGTTCCTTGGGCACCTCAAAAATAAATGGCAGCCCATTACTCCATATACTGTATATAATTTTTTAGGGTGAAATCAGAATTGGGCTGTTCACACTGCACTAAAAACAGTGGATATGGGTCACATTTGCCTGCAATGTGAATGTAGTGTCGGCGACTTCCTGTTGCATATCTGCAGCACCAGACTCCTTTCAGGTTAAGCTTGGTTTATACTACGATACCATGTCTTTTTCTGACTGAGTATGATCATTGTCTACAGAGCTGCTCTGCTCCGCATGAAGAGTAGCTACTATCCTGCTAGTCGTATCCTCTTGTAAGAAAATTGTGTTCAATAAATTGGAAGTCGGAATAAGTTTGGAGAAAGCCAGTTGATTCTCTTCTAAAATGTTTTTCCAAATCGGACTCCATTAAGACCTACAATCAGCCAGCAGCAGCTGTGTGAGAGGCCTTCGTTTTTATCAGAACAGCAAAACAATAACCAGGGTGTCCATGGGTCCTTAAAAAGTCTTAAAAATATTAAATTCACATATCTAAAATTAAGACCTTAAAATGTCTTAAATGTGTTACAAAATGTTCAAGTTGGTCTTAAATTTGTTATTCAAAGGTCTTAAATTTTGTTGGGCAGAAGTGACTAAAGTCCTCCGTCTCCCCCGGCCGTCTCTGCAACGCATTTCCTGTTGMGAAAAAAAACCTTGTTTTGTTGTGATGGATTAACTGACATTGCTTTCAACCAATAAAAAGCAAGTTTTAGCCGAGCGGAGCAGAGCAGGGCGGGTCCTGCAGTCTGTGAGTAGAATCAGAACTGCAGGTGAAGTAATCAGAGTTGCTCTGACTTTTTTTCAAGGAGCACACCTCGACCCACTACCAGAACCATCCGCCTCACATGAAGGTAATAAATTATCAAATGTCTACATATTAAAAGTATGTGTTCGCGCGTGACCA